AAGGTAATCAAGGGGCTGCAGCTGTTGAGGGCTAAGCGCTTCCAGGTGAATGTCGCCTGAGATTTTGCATCCTGCCACTCGGAGGACTTGGGACATACAGCGGTGGCTGACAACACATCTGGTGCCAGGTGGGCTGGGAGGGGATACTGCAAATCCAGGAAGGGAACAGAAGGATGGACAAGGATTGATGAATGGACAAGACTCCGAAACAAAACACCTTTTCAAAGGCTCGCATCCCACTACCAACTACCCCGGGATCAAACAAGTTTAGCTGCATGGAACAATGATGCGTCCTTGACTTGGACTCCAGATGTGAGAATGCCCACTTAAATCTAAAGCCACCATCAGGAGGCTCCCTGTTCACATGAGAAGTTCATCACACAGATGGGCTCCCAGGTCACTGTCATCTCAGGGAGAGCTTCGTGCTTCCCAGGTGTAGGGATGGAGGAGAAATTGGATTCAGGTTGCATTTAAAGGCAAATCTACCTAGTTCACACTTCCGGATGCAGTATGTAAACCAATGCCTAACCTTTCTTCAAAATGCACACCTGTCTGGAGAACTGCATTGTGAAATTTGGACAAGCCATGTGTACAAAAATGCCTATGCTAGGGTAAAGAGTCCACATACTAAGGGAAAGCACACACAGTGTGTACAGTAGGCAAAATTATATGCAAAATGTGTCTAGTAGGAGAAATGCTGGTGAATTTACATGTGGACTTAAAAAATAAGAATCACAAACTGATATGTGGAAATGTGCACTAAAGATTGGAAAAAATTCGAAGCTGAGAGACACCAAAAGTGATATATTTGCCCATCCCTAGATAGCAATTTCACCCCTGGAGGATCTACCATATGCCAAAATTGACAGATTTGCCCGTCCCTACCAACGTGGACCACAATAAAACACTGGACAATCAATGCAATTCTATGGGGCCACTTAGTTACATCAGAGATTTGCACTTCTACAATTAAGGTGGCATCTTAAGCCTATAATCTTCAAGGAATCGTATTGGGATCAAAGCTCCCAGCTGTGGTGCAGGGAAACCCCTGCTTTGATCTTGAGAGCCACTCCAGAATGGTACAATGCTTAAGCACTAACTAGAAATTTCTAGTTAGTGTATGAATGCTTGGCATGATTTTGGATGTCCATTGTTAGCTCTTTGCATGCCTCCTTAAGGCCCACATCTACTATCAGTATAAGTTTACCCTTGCTTAATGGTGTAGCCACACTATGAATCTTTCCTTTCCCCTTTTTGTTGTCTTCAACACACAGCGTTTCAAAAGACAAATGAGATTTAAAAGTACAAATGTTTTAATGAGCAGAACCAAAAGGCCATCCTTGCCTGCTTCTATACAATCCCCAGCATTTATTTCAGTACATTTAATGAGCATCCACATCTGGGACAAGAAAATAATATTAACAACACTCCCTCTGATGCTGTGCGAGTACTTTCTGAATGATTTGCAGAGCTTGCACGTCATATCTTGCTAAATTAATCATCTCAACAACAGCACACCCACAATTCCTCTTTGCTTTTTCAGGCAGGTGGGATGGGCTTCTCCAGCTATGCCCTGCAAACCCTCTTCAGAATTCCCTTAGTTCCTTAATGTAGTGGATACAATCAATCAATCAATATTTATACCCCGCCCATCTGGCTGGGTTTCCCTATCGCCTATCACTCTGGGCAGCTCCCAATAGAATATTAAACAAAATAAAACATCAAACATTAAAAACTTCCCTAAACTTTCTTGCTGTGCAAGAAGCTGTGGCAGTTCTTGAAGCATGACAATCTGCTTCATCATAACAGCTATAGGACAGGATGCCATTAGCCATGGCCAAATTCCTCATGGCCTGATTTGGACCTGGGCTTGCCAAAACCAAGCTGTTTCCCAAAAGATAAATAAGTGACTAAAAAAGTACATTTTTCCTGAGTCAACTAGACACCAATTTGCAAAGAACAGCTTCTCGTTTAATATCAAAACTTAATATTCCTAAATAAGGAGTCATTCCTTGAAGTAAGGATCAGGTAAGCTCCCACTTATACCATCAGTGCAGGAACAGAGTCTACATGCATCACCTCACCCAAACCCTTGAGACCCTCAGCCCCTTTCTCTTCCCACTTATCTTGTTGCAGAAAGTGGGAGGTATTCATGTGAGGAATCCTTCCCTCTTAGGTGTCAGGGGAAACCAATAGCAAGGAGATTGTGCTAGAGACAGGAAAGGACTTGCAGGCCTAATCCTCAATAGTGCTAGATGGTTGTTCTTGAACATGCAAAGGAGGACTACTTGCAGTAAATGGGAGTTACCGTTTCCTGCATGACCTCTCCAGTGTCCAGTGAGACCTTACTGTTGATTCCACCTCCCTATTCACAAAGATAAAATTTGTTTGGCAAGAGGGTGGGATGACCGTCAGTGTTGGAAGAGAATCATATCTGAGCCAGGCTCAACTCATAGAATCATAGAGTTGGAATAGACCACAAGGGCCATCAAGTCCAACCCCCTGCCATTCCGGAGGAATGTGAGATCAGCTTGCAATGCAACATGGAATTCTGAATTTGAGGAGTTCATATTCCCCATTTTTCTGTTCTCCGTCACATGATGTAATGGGAGTTCCAGCATAGCAGCTGCCCACGTACTTCTCCTTTACTGCTAAACCACTAGGCAAGAGAATACACCGGCCAATAGTTAACGGAGTGGTGGGACTGCACCACTTCCCTGACCTCCCTTTGACCGAGTCACTGGAATAGAGAGAGGAGGGGCAGTGTGGTTAGCACTGTGCAAATGCATCAACAGAAGCTTCAGATTGGCACAGTGGAAACACACTGGTGAAGCCACTCTCACCACCATCTCTCTCCTCCCTGTCCCCATCCCAGTATACAGCAGTGACTTGGCCAGAAGGTCATCTGAGGAGTGCTGTTCCAATGTCCACTACTGATACCAGCATGCGGTTCCAAAAAAAGTCCTCCATCCAACTCAATCCCAAACGAAAACAAATGCTTATGTATAACCATCCAGGGGTCCCTTACCTTTTTCCTCAGACCTCATTTAAAAGCTCCATCCCCTCATTTCCCACCTGTTCAACACAAAGGGCTTTAGAAGGGGGGGGCATTTAGAAAACTCACCTTCCTCTCCTAGCTTTGCACAAGGCTTTCGCTTAGAAGCCAGAGACTACAAGGCCCTGTGAATAGATGTGGGGAAAGGGTATTCTTTGGGGGCAGGCTCTTTCAGGAACTGTTTGCCTCCTTCTTGGTCACTTTCCACTCTGAATTATTTGCTGGAGAGGATTTGCCTCAGCCCAGGTGCCACAAAGCACAAGGCTTGACGCTCCCTTACAATAGGACAATAACCAGGGACAATTATTTAACAGGAGAGCGGTCCTGACAAGCACCAGTAGTAAGATCTCAAAGATACTTTAGCACAGATAATCACATCCATTAAAGTATTGTTCATCACTACTAATTAACTGCTTTTAACATACCATGTATTCAAGAGCATGGTAGAAAGACATATGTTGTACTACAAAGACAAAAATCACTCAGTGAGTAAGGGAACTGCTGTCAGTCAATCCTACACATAGTTTGGCAAGCTCACCCCCTGTAATGGCAGATTAAACCTGGCAGATTTGATGAGGCATGATCAGCTCTAGGTATTTCCATTTTCAACAGTAGGAGATTCCCCCCCCCCCAATGCTACGGCATGTTCTCCTTCATATCTAGCTCAGAAACCACACACGCACACCCTCTGCCAGTTCACCCAGCTCTTAGCAGAAGAGTAAGAACATGTGAGGGCACTGTTATACAGTGGTTTCGCTCCTTCCTCCTGGGCCGTGTTCAGAAAGTGGTGGTGGGGGATGAGTGTTCAGACCCTTGGGCCCTCACTTGTGGGGTGCCTCAGGGTTCCGTCCTCTCCCCCATGCTTTTTAACATCTATATGAAGCCGCTGGGGGAGATCATCAGGGGGTTTGGACTGGGTGTCCATCAATATGCAGATGATACCCAGCTCTACCTCTCTTTCAAATCAGAACCAGTGAAGGCGGTGAAGGTCCTGTGTGAGTGCCTGGAGGTGGTTGGAGGATGGATGGTGGCAAGACAGAAGTACTGTTTTTGGGAGACACCCCCATCGTTCTGCCCGGATGCTGAGGTCCAGCGCCGAGGGCCTTCTGGCGGTTCCCTCATTGCAAGAAGCAAAGCTACAGGGAACCAGGCAGAGGGCCTTTTCGGTAGTGGCGCCCGCCCTGTGGAACGCCCTACCATCAGATGTCAAAGCGATAAACATCTACCTGACATTCAGAAGACATCAGAAGGCAGCCCTGTTCAGGGAAGTTTTTAATGTATGATATTTTAGTGTTTTTTGGTTTCTATGGAAGCCGCCCAGAGTGGCTGGGGAAACCCAGTCAGATGGGCGGGGTACAAATAATAAATTATTATTATTATTATTATTATTATTATTATTATTATTATTATTATTATCTGAGGTAATTGAGTTGTATATTCCATTTCAAATTATCCAACTTAATGTAGAACGGAGGGGGCAGGAGCAGAAAAACACTCAGGTCTGAATGAAGTCTATGCTATGACACAGTTGGATGGGTGAAACTAACACATAGCTGCCATTTTCTATAAGAGCTGTTCGACAGTGGAACAGACTAGTTCAGAAGGTGGTGGATTCTCCTTCATTGGAGGTTGTTAAACAGAGGATGGATGGCCGCCTGTCAGATTTTTTATTTTTATTTTTTGCTGTGGTTCCTGCTTTGCAGGAGGTTGGAGTAGATCAGGCATCCCCAAACTCAGCCCTCCAGATGTTTTGGGACTACAATTCCCATCATCCCTGACCACTGGTCCTGTTAGCTAGGGATCATGGAAGTTGTAGGCCAAAAATATCTGGAGGGCAGTTTGGGGATGCCTGGACGAGATGAGCCTTTGGAGCCCTTTCAACTCTACAATTCAATGATCAATGCCACATCTCAACTTGACCTTAGTTCATAAATAGGTTGCTGGCTTTACCAAACCTTTATTTTATTTATTGATTCAAGTATTTACATGTTGCCCTTTCACATAAAAAATCAAGGTGGTGAACAGCAAAATATCATAAAACAATACAAAATAATCGCTTAAAAGACTGGCTCATCTAAAAAGAAAATAGACTGTACAGGCATGTTGGCATAAAAATCATTAGCAAATACTAAAATTAGATGCATTCCTTGGCTAGGAATTTTCATTTCTGTTTTTATTAAGAGTTGTGACTTCTTGCAACAGAATTGTAACTTCATCCCTAAAACGATTGCCCATTACGGCCCAATATCTCATGAGCAGCAAAGTAAAAGACTCAACAGGGAATGGCTATGAGGGAGGTATCTTACCCCAGCTAAATCCCAGGATGAAAAATAAACATTGGTAGTGAGTTTGTTTCCAAAATGTGCACTATAGTACATTACAAAACAACTTGTTATATGTGCTCATGAAATATTCCAGATGCTCATTTACGCAGCTGTTTGTCAGTCATCCATTTAATTTTGCGTTGCCACATCCTAATATGCCTTTAGCACTCTGCAACAAAGTTGCACAGGTGTGCCGTGCCCTGTTGTTGTACAAAAGTATGGGATAACGAATAACATGTTCTGCAACAATTCAGAAGGTCAGGAGATAATTTGATCATTTCTGTAACATGTAGATCTCTCTCTCTCTCTCTCTCTCTCTCTCTCACACACTCACACACACACACACACACACACACACAGTGTACATGTTTAAAGAAACATAAAAGTAGTAATTCTATACACATGGTATATCCCTTTGTTCAATGAACAGAAGTGCTTTTGCTCCAGTAGATGCCCCACCAATGAAAGAGGGTGGCAATTTGCATGGATTCACCTCTGCATCCTCTTCCATCCACCAGATATTTGCATTGGGGGAATCCTCCAGACCTGTGAATAAGGTGGTGCATTAGGGAGGGGTAGCCAATGCCAATGAAGACAGAATCAGGATTCAAGATGACCTTAACAGATTGGAGAACTGGGCCAAAGCTAACAAAATGAATTTCGATAGGAACAAATTTAAGATTCTACATTTAGGCAGGAATAACTAGCTGCACAAATAGAAGATGGGGAATGACAAGCTTAACATGAATCAACAGTGTGAGGCAGCAGCAAAGAAAGCTAATGTTATTCTAGGCTGCATCAATAGATGTTTAGTGTCCTGATAAAGGAAAGTAATAGTCCCACTCAATTCTGCCTTGATCAGACCACACCTGGAGTACTGTGTCCAATTCTGGGCACCACAATTTAGGAAGGATATTGAGAAGCTGGAATGTGTGCAGAGGAGGGCAACCAAGATGATCAAGGGTCTGGAAACTAAGCCTTATCGGGAATGGTTGAGAGAGTTGATTATGCTTAGCCTGGAGAAGAGGAGACAAACGAGACATCATAGCCATTTTGAAATATCTAAAGGGATGTCACACAGAGGATGAAGCCAGCTTGTTTTCTCCTGCTCTGGAAGCTAGGACCCAAACAAATGCATTCAAGTTACAAGAGAGGAAAGTCCACCTAAACATCAGGAATAACTTTCTGACAGTAAGAGCTGTTTGACAGTGGAAGGTGTTAGACCAGGCTTCCTCAACCTCGGCCCTCCAGATGTTTTTGGCCTACAACTCCCATGATCCCTAGCTAGCAGGACCAGTGGTCAGGGATGCTGGGGGGTTGTAGTCTCAAAACACCTGGAGGGCTGAGGATGAGGAAGCCTGTGTTAGACTATCCTTCCTTGGAAGCTTTTAAGCAGAGGCTGGATGGCCATCTGTCTTTTATGATTCCTGCACTGCAGGCAGTTGTACTAGATGACCCTTGGGGTCCCTTCCAAATCTACAATTCTATTATTCTATCCATCCAATAGTGGAGGAATCTACTAGATCAATTAGTAAAAAGGACTATTTCTGTTTATATAATGATGCAGTTGGACACAACCCTGACCTAGCAGTGAATCTCATTGTATTCACTTGGATGTACTTCTGAGAAGACATGGATAGGCACTGTAAGTGTGTGGAAGCTTCAGTTCATACACCAATTTGGTGCTTTGGAAATTGGCTCAATTTGGATCAGATTGCTTTGGAAGCAGGGTTCTAGAGAAGAACCCTGATCTTGAAAACCCAAAGCATTCTGCCTTCCCATCAACTATAAAGGGCTATAACTTCCCTGCCCCATGTTGGACAAAATCTGCAGTTATAATAGCCCTTCCTGAATGGACTGAGCCTTTCAAATTATAGACAGATGGATAAAGTTTGTGCTGGACACCTTTGGCGCCACCCCATGCAGTATGTCTGACTTCCGCATTATTCACTATCTGGAATAATTTTAATAAGAGTAATAATTTTATTATTTATACCCCGTCCATCTGGCTGGGTTTCCCTAGCCACTCCTGTTAAGAAGGATTCACCTGTGTCCACACACACTTACACACCACACATAATTTGTATGGAAATGTCGCAGAAGTGCTTCCAGGTAAGAAGCCTGCCAAATTTCAGAAGAATAGATACAGGGGGGGGGGTTTAAACGTTGATTTCTGCAGAATGAAAAAGGGGATCACTTTGTTCCATGGTAGTTTTCTGAGCATTATTGTCCTTCTCCAGAAATGTGTTATGTGAATCCCAATCTCTAAAAAAGCAACGGTCACTGGGGGTTGCTAGCTTTTCCCGTGACATAAGGTTTCTTTGTACATATATACAGGCTGAGCATAAAATGAAAGGTTCACAGTATGAACACTCTCACAGCCCCTGCTCCCCCATTAGGTTTCTGGCATTGCCATAGCACTGGAACCAGCAAACAGAATTGATGCTTTTCATCTCTAGTCCCAAGACTGACTGTTTATGGGGGGGGGGGGTTCTAGACACACCCCTCAATGACTCCACCTCCAGACAGAAGAGAGGGGTGAAGACATGTCTGCTTCAGTTCATCTTCCCAAATTGTCTCCATATACAGTATTTAATTTCTATACAACACTTTGGCCCAAGCTTACCTAATTTAAGACCTTAGCAAAGAAACTGATTTGATCATTCCAGCAGTCCTCTTTCCCTGCAGATTCAAATATTACAGCTAAAAAACCACAGGACTGAAGGGGACCCCAAAAATACATTTATTCTAACCCCAGACTTATTATGGTGTTAATGACTCATAAGGCAATTGCATTGACCAGTTTATGTCTCAATCAGTTGTAGGACGCCACCATTGGCCCCTTGCCACCACCAGCCTCCTGACCCATTTTCCTCAGGACAAACATGCAGGATTTTAAATTGCTTACTTTCAATAAAAATGCAAAAGGGGAAATTAGAACAAATCTTTCCTGGATGTTTTCTATCCTCCCTCCTTCACTTTTATGTGGCAGAGACCAACCAGCAATAATCAACCAGGGCCATTTAGTTATAGTCTCGTCTTGCTGTGACTAATAGGATGATTGGTTGTATAGCTTCTTTATGGTTGTTCATTATATCACCCTTACATAAAGTAATTTAATTTCAGTGGGATAATTAGGGCATTTCTAATCTAACTGATAGTCTGAATGAAATTAGATTCTCAGAGGGAGATTTGTGTATCGGGAGACTGGTGACCTTTGGCCCCAATTTTCACACAATGTATTAAACTGACAGCCCGACTCCAAAGCTCTGCTCTACTGTATCTTTGCAACTTGTGCTGATCCTGGTGTTACTGGAAGGAACCTTAAACAGGTTCCTGGATCCCAGTAGATTCCAATTGAATAAGAGGTTGATAGTGTAAAGGAAGCATGCACATTTCAGATTAATTAAATGGACATTCCAGCAAAGGCATAATCTGAGCTATTCCTGCCCCATGGCTCTGCTCTGGAATATCTGAAGTAATAGCAAAGAAAGAAAAAGTCATTGAGCATGTGCAGAATACCCCATCCTCCAAAGGCACTTAGTGTGTGAGGAGGGATATAGACCACGCCTGCTGTCCACACCCCCAAACCCATATATGTTTAGCAGAGCAAGTGAAACATGTACCTTTACACATACAGATCAGAAAATATTGAGTCACTTACCTTTGCTGACTATGCTGGGCTTTCATTGGTGTTCAGCCAAAGGATCTCTAAGTGCTCAGCATTGTCTCCTTGGAGCTACCAAGACTAGGGGTACTGATCTGGAAACTTGGCTAGAATTCCTCAAGTACTACAGGGTTTTCTTCTGGGGTGATGAGCTTCTGGTTGAGGTTGACCTTCAGGTACATACTGAAGCAGCCGGGGATTTTGCCTTTGAGGTATTCTATAGAGAAGAATAGGTCAACACACTCAAGTTTGGTCACCTAAATGAAAGTTTAGGTAGGTTCCAAAGCCTCTGAGATAACCAGATAAGTATACTGAGCAGACAATTAATTGACTGCTTTGACTCTGAGAAAGGTGAACAAGGACTTTGGTGTCTGGTGTATCTTCCTTCATCAGACATTTGCTGCCACTCAGGCACAGCTTAACACGTGATTAGTGAGGGGAAGAACATTCTTCATGGAAGATCTGCAAAATTTACCTGCTCAACTTTTTCTAGGCAGCTGGAGGGAAACGTAGTAAGGGAAACTAGTGCCTTCCTGTAGCAGGATCAGTGAGGGTCAAAGAAGGATGAGCATCCCCAAGGCATTACTCAGAGTGAAGAGCTTTCCCCCTAACCTGCCTCTATGGGCTAGTAGGCTGGGGTGGTGGTCTGGGGTCTTGAATACCCTTGGAATATTTATGTGCCATCCCCCACCCCCACGACTTCATCTCCTACAGCCTATCTTTAACGCAAGGGCTGTGTTGAGAAGAGAGTGGAACTGTCAACTGCTCCAGGGTTGAGTTTGTCCAGATAAGAGATAGAGTCTGCACCATCTCACCCATGAGATACATACAGTGGCTGGAGCCATAATTTCATCTGATTGCATCTCATTGAAAATTGTTGTCCATTTGGACATGAGAGGATTAATGGGGCACAAAAGACTGTTTCCAGTTGGTCCAGTCTGCTGGTCAGGTCTGGTTATATCTTCCTTCTGCCGCTGTCAGATTGCTCTCAGGAGATGGGACATAGTAGGATGGTTCCAAAGGGGATAAGGGTGCATACCTGCCCGGCCGCCATGTAATTTCAGTCAGTAAAATCTTATTGTTTATTGCCAATCGTCATATTTAAATATTATATATACAACTGAATTGTCATTTTTTACTAAAGGTTAACAGCCTTTCCTTGTTAATTAATAAAATGGATTGTAGGACTCCCCCTCCCATTTTCCTCTGTGTGGTTGTGTGAAAAGCTTAATAAAGAGAAGACCACAAAAAAGGCAAATACCAGTGTATATTTGTAGATCCTTTTTTTTCTTTTCCCAATCCAAAACAAAGTAAACTGGAGCGGTCTCCCTGACCTCCAAAAAGAGGGTTCAGGGGTGTTTAGTATCACAGATGTAAGTAGGATTTCCATATTAAATTTACTTCTGCATCATCAAATTTAAGTGAGATGTTAAATTTTGATAATGGTACATCAACACAGCCCAGAGAGGAGGAGATAAAAAATGAAGACCAACTTATTTCTGGAGTGTAGTCTCCTAGTTGCTGAGGGTGGTACTCAACTACCATAGTTGCACTAATGCAAGGATTAGCACTGGTGTAATTGGATTTCCCTCCTTTCCTCCTCCAGTACTGCTCCATATTGGCTGCAAATCTCTGAAAGGTTGGGGGAGCAGATTTAGGGGATGCGCAAGGAGAGAAGGGGGAAGAACATTCCGTTGCACAAGTTGAAGCCCTTACTCTGACAGGAGATTTTGCTTAGCTTTATGTTGACTATAATGTATTCCAAGGCTAAGGTGGAAAGTCCCCCTTCTCACAGAAAGGAGCCACAGTGCTGCCCTAAGTTATGTGAAAGCTTTCCTTTCACTGATGGAAAGAGCCACTGACAACTCTGGAGAAGCTAAAAATTCAAATCCAGTTGAAGATGCCCTAGATTAGACTGCAGCAAACTTATATAAGGAGCCAGCTGAGGAAGGTTTGTTGGAGTCCTCTGGGTCTCTTCCCTGCACGGAACAGAGAATGATCCTTGGCACATTAAATGCTCTGCAACAAAAATTATTAGATAAAAGCAATCTTCTTTAAACCTGGCAACCACCACCAAAAAAAGCTCTCTCAGAGAACTCTGCAGAGAATGCCCTCTTGTCAGTGCCATTTATGAGGCAAGTAAACCAAACTATGACTGAGGTATCTAGGGGATCCTCTCTCTGGAGAAATGTGAGAGCAGTGGAGTTGCTTATTTGAATCATCTAAACATCCTGCCTACACCTATACTCAGCCTGTATATTTGTAAATAAACTCAAACACAACACAAGTCCCCAATGATCTCTTTCTCCAATGGAAACCAAACCCAGGTAAGTGGTGGACCCCTTAAATGGAATACACCTAACAGTTGTTGTCCTGAACCCTTGGCCTACCTGGCAGCAAGTCAGTGTGCCACGTCCAAAGCTCAAAATCCAAGGGTCGATCCACACAAGAGAAATCCAAAGTTCAGGAAATGAGGTTCAGGGTTAATCTAAGTAACCAAGTCTGAAGTCCAGCAGTCAGAATACAAACCCAAAGCACAGTCCTGTGAAGATCCAGGAGCACCCACGTCAAGGTCCCTCAACAATTGGCAGTTGACACAGCACCTCAGCTTTACTGCTCTTTTATATTTTGCCTGTTTGCAGCATCTGGGCTTGATGAGGCATGTGACCCTCACCTGTTCTGAGCCTACTCCAGCTGAGGAATCACACTCCTCTTCCCAGAGCTAGAGAGCCCCACCTGGCTGGCAAGGGAGCTGGGCTGTGGGCCCTTGCCTGCCTCAGCCTCCTGGAGCACCACTCCCGCTGCTCCCTAAGCCTCAGAGCCCACCATGTTTGTGGAGACCTCTCTGGCTCTGGTGATGGGTCCTGCTGCTCTGGTTCCTGTGCACTGACCCCCATCCCCTTGTCATCCTCCATCACCCTGTGAGTACCTTCCCCATCCCCAGCTTGCCCTGGTGTGTCCCAGTCCCACCTACACCCCTCGCTGGGATCCTCTTCCTTCTCCCTATAGGCCTACCAGTTCATGACAGTTGTTAATTAAATAATTTGTGTCTTGTCTCTTCATAGTCTTTCTCAGTTTCCACAAAAGGGAGCTTCAAAGTACAATGGACAGTTTTATTGGCCAGTGAGGTGTAGTGGCTAAAGTGTTGGATGAGAGACCCAGGTCCAAATTGTCACAACTTCACACTAAAAAAGCTTACTTGAGTCAGTCATATCATATACCTAAGGTACCTCACATGGTTGTGAAGATAACATGAAAGCGGGAGAACCACATGTCACCTGGAGCTCCTTTAAAGAACACTGAAATATATATGCACCAAATAAATAAATAAATTAAATAACATTTCATAGTTACATTCATTGTTCTATCAAAACCACATGCCTACAGTTGCATCATTGTTTATTGTCATATATCCAGGATGAGTGTGAAAAACTGTTGTCTCTTCTCTTTCTGAAATGTCTTTAGGAAAATGTTGGCATGAAGATATTTTAACTTGACTAAATGCAATGTCTCCCTTCAAAAATTCTTCATTAGACTTGCTTTTCAGATCTTTTATCATCTTTGTAGCTCTCTGTTTTCAAAATCCTTGTTGAACACAGGTTCTTGACATTCTAATTGCAAGCAATATCTTTTCTGTTTTGTTCATCTCTCTGCAGCATACGTAGTTGGATAGTTGTATTTCAAGAGATTAGCATTGTTATGCTGCATGGAAGTCAGGTAACAAATCAAAGCAAACTTCAAACGCTAGGAAAGTTACCAGCAATGTAGAGTTTGATTGCCAGCTTACAATTGTCTAATGACCCATTGGTGATGGTCCATTTCCCTGTTAGATTAAGAGTACAGTCCTGTGCTCTCCCAACACCTGCAAGAGTGGCACAGGACCACACATTTAAGTATTATCAATGGTAAATAAACAGTAAGCATAAAACTGGTGAGGAGGAACAATAATGAGATGGCACCAGGGACAATGCAGGGGGTGGGACCTGCATACACTCAAATGTTCAGGCCCAGAAGACTGAAATCGCTGAATTAGTACTTATCCCGAGATTGACTCTATCCACTTAGGCATGAATAAAGACAATGGCTTCCTGTACCACTGCAGGTGTTAATTAGAAATTAATTGCAAATGGACATTTAGGCAATTTATCACAGACTGTACCTTTTGCATTTCATTGTCATCTGATTCTGCAATTTACACACACACACACCCCGCCCTGCACAACTGAAGATAGCACTTCTGATGAAACGGACTCTAGTTCATGAAACCACATGCCATAATAAATACAGTGGTACCTCGGGTTACAGACGCTTCATGTTACAGACTCCACTAACCCAGAAATAGTACCTCAGGTTAAGAACTTTGCTTCAGGGTGAGAACAGAAATCATGCTCTGGCGGCGCGGCAGCAGCGGGAGGCCCCATTAGCTAAAGTGGTACCTCAGGTTAAGAACAGTTTCAGGTTAAGAACAGACCTCCAGAACGAATTAAGTTCTTAACCCGAGGTACCACTGTAAAGGCTAGAAGATTCTTCATTGCTTGGGGGTAAACGATGAAGGGTTCAGACACCTCACATGGTTCCAAATATCCTAAGACATGCCAGTAAATGTTTAACATTTGCCAAAGTGCTAATATTCATTATGAAATATCTATCATTAAATGCTTACCTCCTTTATTCTTTCTGCACACGACAGTAAGATACTGAGCATGAGAGATGAGTAGAATGACTTGCCCAAGGTTGCCCAGTGATCCTATGATTGGATCAAATTTTGTTGTTGTCGTTTAGTCGTGTCCGACTCTTCGTGACCCCATGGACTAGAGCACGCCAGGCACTCCTGTCTTCCACTGCCTCCCGCAGTTTGGTCAAACTCATGCTGGTAGCTTCGAGAACACTATCCAACCATCTCATCCTCTGTTGTCCCCTTCTCCTTGTGCCCCCCATCTTTCCCAACATCAGGGTCTTTTCCAGGGAGTCTTCTCTTCTCATGAGGTGGCCAAAGTATTGGAGCCTCAACTTCACAATCTGTCCTTCCAGTGAGCACTCAGGGCTGATTTCCTTAAGAATGGATAGGTTTGAGATAGCACATGGGTAAAGTAAAGGTAAAGGGACCCCTGACCATTAGGTCCAGTCATGGCCGACTCTGGGGTTGCGGCGCTCATCTCGCTTTATTGGCCGAGGGAGCCAGCGTACAGCTTCCGGGTCATGTGGC